CCAATCCAAAATTATATGGTGACTGATTGACAAGGGGCGGGCGCTTACGTTCTTCCTGCAACATGAGAAGGGATGGAGGGACTCTCAGCAGGGATGCAGTCTGGGACACGTAGTTGCAAACCTAGCGACTTTGTTGTTAGATTCAATGACTTTTCAGACCCCCTAACGACTTTTTTTTAGAAAGAAAGGGACTTTTATCGACTTCTTCTGGAGTTTAGAGACTCTGACATGAAGCAGGCTTTCCTTACTGAGGAGTTAGCAACGCTGCTAAGGGTGCAGAGCCACACATGCGCTCAGAGCTCTGCATGGGAGACTGAAGCTGACAGAGCTGCAGCAGTTAGCAGGTTTCACCCTCAGAGACCACCAGGGGTTCATGTTGAGGCATTTTAATTTTTTTTTTTTTTTGTGCCATAGACACTGTCAGCACAATCTGCAGTTACACTAACAAAAATGCTGCAAAAAACAAAGAATTATGGAAAAATTACACATGGACTGACATAGAGGAGGATCTACACAAGTTTTTTACATCATGTTTTACATCATGCATCATTTACATCATGTTTTTTTGTAGTGGCATAAATAAAAAGTGACATTTGTGAGACTATACAGTGTTTTGTAAATAATTTTACAAAGAACGCCTGGGCCATTGCCTGCATTTTGATGTAAATAGAGGTAAATTACTATGTTCTTTGTTAAAAATTTGCATATGTTTTGAAGTTTACAATTTTTATTTGAAGTTTAAGTTTTAAAAACAGTTCATCACACATATTTGTGGTTTAATTTCACATTAATTTCCATATTGTATAAATGACTGGAAAAAACTTGAGCCCCTGCCCCTGTATAATCATGTGCACGTCCCTGTTCTAGCTCCAAGGTGAATCTTCACTGCTCATGTTCTCCTCAGAAATAGTCACCTCACTCCCCTCAGGTTACTGTACACATGCACCAACTATCTGCTTCAGGTTTGAAATGGAGCTTCATGGTTGTCTTTTGGAGAAATGAACAGTCAAGTTGTGTTTGAAATTTGATTTTTTTCAGGGGCAAAAGGAAGCCTCTGCATTCTTGTCAAATATGTAAACAGCATGTTTTTGCAGGTGCTAAAAAACAGACTCTGAGTGTGTGTGTGTGTGTGTGTGTGTGTGTGTGTGTGTGTGTGTGTGTGTGTGTGTGTGTGTGTATGTTGGCGTGTGTGTATATGTGTGTGTATCCTGCAGTACTCTGTACTCCTGCAGTGGCCAAAAAGACTTTTAAGAATGTGGATTTTTGGGTCATCTTTGGCGCCCCCTAGAACTGCAGTACTCTGTACTCCTGCAGTGGCCAAAATGACTTTTAAGAATGTGGATTTTTAGGTCATCTTTGGCGCCCCCTAGAACGTAAACCGTGGGGTGCAGCGTCATGATTTTTACAACTTTGAATGGGCATGGGGTGTAGATTGCCCTGAGCAAATTTGGTATCGGTGGGACGAAAGCCTTAGGAGGAGATAGCCACATTCCAATGTGTGCGAATCGGCAAAAAATGCAAAATAGCCCTTTAACCGTACATTATACAGATACGCGCTCTTTGACTTTTTCGTAGATCTAATTGAGATACACATGATTGTCAATTTTTGTGTCAATATGACAAAGCATTCAGGCGTGACACTCAACAATGTGTATTTTCATGTAAGGGGACAAGAAAAAATTGACTTTTTTCTCCTACCATGGGGGGGCGCTCTCTTGGGGAGTAAAAATTCCTTCACAAATGTGTTGATGGCTGGACATTGCATCATCCTAGAAAACTTGGAGGCCAGTGAGGACAAAAATAAAAAGTTATAAAACATTTAAGAATGTGGATTTTTGGGTTATTTTTGGCGCCCCCTAGAACCTAAACCATGGGGTGCAGCATCATGATTTGAATAACTTTTAATGGCCATGGGGTGTAGATTGGCCTGAGCAAATGTGGTGCCGGTGGAACGAAAGCCTTCGGAGGAGTTAGCGAAATTCCAATGTGTGCGTATCGGCAAAAAATGCGGAATAACCCTTTAACTGTACATTTGACAGATACGCGCGCATGGACTTTTTTGTAGATCTTATTGAGATACATGTGTGTGTCAATTTTTGTGTCATTTTGACAAAGCGTATAGGCGTGACACTCAACAATGTGTATTTTCACCTTAGGGGACAAGAAAAAATGGACTTTTTTCTCCTGCCATGGGGGGGCGCTCTTTTGGGGAGTAAAAATTCCTTCACAAATGTGTTGATGGCTGGACATTGCATCATCCTAGAAAACTTGGAGGCCAGTGAGGACAAAAATAAAAAGTTATAAGACTTTTAAATATGTGGATTTTAGTGTTATCTTTGGCGCCCCCTAGAACCTAAACCTTGGGGTGCAGCGTCATGATTTTGATAACTTTTAATGGCCACGGGGTGTAGATTGGCCTGAGCAAATGTGGTGCCGGTGGAACGAAAGCCTTCGGAGGAGTTAGCGAAATTCCAATGTGTGCGGATCGGCAAAAAATGCGAAATAACCCTTTAACCGTAATTTTGACAGATACGGCCGCACTGACTTTTTTGTAGAACTTATTGAGATACATATGTGTGTCAATTTTTGTGTCAATATGACAAAGCGTACAGGCGTGACAGTCAATAGTATGAATTTCCACCTTAGGGGGCGCTATGGAGCCATTTTGCATTTTATTGTTTGGGCGACTTCAGAATATCGAATTTTTCACCAGGCCCGGTCGTCCTGCCAAATTTCATGAGTTTTCGCCAGTGGGAAGTGGGCCATTTTCCAGTTCAAAGGGGAGGAAAAAGAAGAAAGAAAGAAAGAACTAGGACCCCGTTGGGGCACTGGCGGGCCCGAGCCATGTCGCGTCCCCCCCCCCAACGTGCTGCCTCCCCGTCCCATTTGTGTCCTCTGGCCATCGCCCTCTCTGGTAACGCCCATCACTGCAAAGACCCTTTTCCTTCATCGGCGTTTGCTGTTCTTCTTGCCAGTGCGTGTTGCTTTCACTTACACTTGCCACAGCCAGCCTCGTGAGTGCCTAGCCTATTGGATATCACTGTCACCTACACAGGACAGTCATTACCTTTCTATTAATACTTTGTGTTTTAATTTCACATTAATTTCCATATTGTATAAACGACTGGAAAAAACTTGAGCCCCTGCCCCTGTATAATCATGTGCATGTCTCTGTTCTAGCTCCAAAGTGAATCTTCACTGCTCATGTTCTCCTCAGAAGCAGTCACCTCACTCCCCTCAGGTTACTGTACACATGCACCAACTGCCTGCTTCAGGTTTGGATGGAGCTTCATGGTTGTCTTTTGGAGAAATGACCAGTCAAGTTGTGTTTGAAATTTGATTTTTTTCAGGGGCAAAAGGAGCCTCTGCATTCTTGTCAAATATGTAAATAGTATGTTTTTGCAGGTGCTAAAAACCAGACTCTGAGTGTGTGTGTGTGTGTGTGTGTGCGTGTGTGTGTGTCTGTGTGTGCGTTCAAGTCACATGACATATTTAACCGGATGTAGCTGCAAGACGGAGCCTCGTTGACTCTCCGTTTCAACTTATCTCAAAAGTGAGGACCTCAACCTATATACCAGTTTTTAAATTGTGTTGATAGGCCAAATAAAACCAGAGTTATGATAAATTATGTCCGCGATACTTTTTTTCTGCTTATTTTGATCACGTTCGGCGCTCGATCGCGCTGTATGAGACAGGAAAACATAGCATGCAGACATTAGCGACAGGTCTTACAGGCGGAAAAGGCTTGCCAAAAGAAAAAAAAAACACACCACAACATCTCTCCTATTGGTGGAAAACTTCACCACAACAACCAATCCAAAATTATATGGTGACTGATTGACAAGGGGCGGGTGCTTACGTTCTTCCTGCAACATGAGAAGCGAGGGAGGGACTCTCAGCAGGGATGCAGTCTGGGACACGTAGTTGCAAACCTAGCGACTTTGTTGTTAGATTCAATGACTTTTCAGACCCCCTAACGACTTTTTTTTTAGAAAGAAAGGGACTTTTATCGACTTCTTCTGGAGTTTAGAGACTCTGACATGAAGCAGGCTTTCCTTACTGAGGAGTTAGCAACGCTGCTAAGGGTGCAGAGCCACACATGCGCTCAGAGCTCTGCATGGGAGACTGAAGCTGACAGAGCTGCAGCAGTTAGCAGGTTTCACCCTCAGAGACCACCAGGGGTTCATGTTGAGGCATTTTAATTTTTTTTTTTTTGTGCCATAGACACTGTCAGCACAATCTGCAGTTACACTAACAAAAATGCTGCAAAAAACAAAGAATTATGGAAAAATTACACATGGACTGACATAGAGGAGGATCTAGTTTTTTACATCATGTTTTACATCATGCATCATTTACATCATGTTTTTTTGTAGTGGCATAAATAAAAAGTGACATTTGTGAGACTATACAGTGTTTTGTAAATAATTTTACAAAGAACGCCTGGGCCATTGCCTGCATTTTGATGTAAATAGAGGTAAATCACTATGTTCTTTGTTAAAAATTTGCATATGTTTTGAAGTTTACAATTTTTATTTGAAGTTTAAGTTTTAAAAACAGTTCATCACACATATTTGTGGTTTTCACAGTAAAAATGTTACTTTTTTCCACTCGGATTTTATGTTTTGTGTGTGAATTTGGGTCCATTGTGTAAATTCAGTATGTCAACATGATAAAATAACTGTAAATTCGCACAGGTGAGGTTGTGCTGAAAAAAATGATACCAGGCAAGGCACGTGATTGTCAAATTTTGTGTCAATATGACAAAGCGTATAGGCGTGAATCTCAACAATATGTATTTTCACCTTAGGGGACAAGAAAAAATGGACTTTTTTCTCCTGCCATGGGGGGGCGCTCTTTTGGGGAGTAAAAATTCCTTCACAAATGTGTTGATGGCTGGACATTGCATCATCCTAGAAAACTTGGAGGCCAGTGAGGACAAAAATAAAAAGTTATAAAACTTTTAAATATGTGGATTTTAGGGTTATCTTTGGCGCCCCCTAGAACCTAAACCGTGGGGTGCAGCGTCATGATTTTGATAACTTTTAATGGCCATGGGGTGTAGATTGGCCTGAGCAAATGTGTTGCCGGTGGAACGAAAGCCTTAGGAGGAGTTAGCCACATTCCAATGTGTGCGGATCGGCAAAAAATGCGGAATAACCCTTTAACCGTACATTTGACAGATACGCGCTCATAGACTTTTTTGTAGATCTTATTGAGATACATGTGTGTGTCAATTTTTGTGTCATTTTGCCAAAGCGTAAAGGCGTGACACTCAACAATGTGTATTTTCACCTTAGGGGTCAAGAAAAAATGGACTTTTTTCTCCTGCCATGGGGGGGCGCTCTTTTGGGGAGTAAAAATTCCTTCACAGATGTGTTGATGGCTGGACATTGCATCATCCTAGAAAACTTGGAGGCCAGTGAGGACAAAAATAAAAAGTTATAAGACTTTTAAATATGTGGATTTTAGGGTTATTTTTGGCGCCCCCTAGAACCTAAACCGTGGGGTGCAGCGTCATGATTTGAATAACTTTTAATGGCCATGGGGTGTAGATTGGCCTGAGCAAATGTGGTGCCGGTGGAACGAAAGCCTTCGGAGGAGTTAGCGAAATTCCAATGTGTGCAGATCTGCAAAAAATGCAAAATAACCCATTAACCGTACATTTGACAGATACGCCCGCACTGACTTTTTTGTAGATCTTATTGAGATACATGTGTGTGTCAATTTTTGTGTCAATATGACAAAGCGTACAGCCGTGACAGTGAATAGTGTGAATTTTCACCTTAGGGGGCGCTATGGAGCCATTTTGCATTTTATTGTTTTGGCGACTTCAGAATATCAAATTTTTCACCAGGCCCGGTCGTCCTGCCAAATTTCATGAGTTTTCGCCAGTGGGAAGTGGGCCATTTTCCAGTTCAAAGGGGAGGAAAAAGAAAAAAGAAAGAAAGAAACAAAGAAAAACCACTTGGGGAATAATAGGGCCTACGCCCGGCTGCTCTGCAGCTGGCTCGGGCCCTAACTAGGGCCCCGGTGGGGCACTGTCGGGCCCGAGCCGCGTCGCGCCGCCCCCAGTGCGACCGCCTCCCCGTCCCGATCGAGTCACACTCAAGAACCAAAGATGGTGTGCGCACTTGTCTGTGGTCATTTCCCATTATAATGAATGGGAGGCGCAGTTTCTACCAAAACACTCGCTGCAGACAAACTTCATGTCCTATTTGAAAAAAGTCTGGACCATGAGTGAGGGCACAAACACAGCTATGATATATCGAAATGCCAGGTTGCTCCTCCTTACGGTGTTGCCTGGAGAGCGATGCGATTGAGCCATTGAGCGATGGGCAGGAAAAACTTGACTTTTTCTCCTGCCATAGGGGGGATTCTTTTAAGAATGTGGATTTTTGGGTCATCTTTGGCGCCCCCTAGAACGTAAACCGTGGGGTGCAGCGTCATGATTTTTACAACTTTGAATGGCCATGGGGTGTAGATTGGCCTGAGCAAATTTGGTGTCAGTGGGACGAAAGCCTTAGGAGGAGTTAGCCACATTCCAATGTGTGCGAATCGGCAAAAAATGCAAAATAGCCCTTTAACCGTACATTTGACAGATACGCGCGAATTGACTTTTTTGTAGATCTTATTGAGATACATATGTGTGTCAATTTTTGTGTCAATATGATAAAGCGTACAGGCGTGACAGTCAATAGTGTGAATTTCCACCTTAGGGGACAAGAAAAAATTGACTTTTTTCTCCTGCCATGGGGGGGGCGCTCTTTTGGGGAGTAAAAATTCCTTCACAAATGTGTTGATGGCTGGACATTGCATCATCCTAGAAAACTTGGAGGCCAGTGAGGACAAAAATAAAAAGTTATAAGACTTTTAAATATGTGGATTTTAGGGTTATCTTTGGCGCCCCCTAGAACCTAAACCGTGGGATGCAGCGTCATGATTTGAATAACTTTTAATGGCCATGGGGTGTAGATTGGCCTGAGCAAATGTGGTGCCGGTGGAACGAAAGCCTTCGGAGGAGTTAGCGAAATTCCAATGTGTGCGGATCGGCAAAAAATGCGGAATAACCCTTTAACCGTACATTTGACAGATACGCGCGCATTGACTTTTTCGTAGATCTTATTGAGATACATGTGTGTGTCAATTTTTGTGTCATTTTGCCAAAGCGTACAGGTGTTACACTCAACAATGTGTATTTTCACCTTAGGGGACAAGAAAAAATGGACTTTTTTCTCCTGCCATGGGGGGGCGCTCTTTTGGGGAGTAAAAATTCCTTCACAAATGTGTTGATGGCTGGACATTGCATCATCCTAGAAAACTTGGAGGCCAGTGAGGGCAAAAATAAAAAGTTATAAGACTTTTAAATATGTGGATCTTAGGGTTATCTTTGGCGCCCTCTAGAACCTAAACCTTGGGGTGCAGCGTCATGATTTGAATAACTTTTAATGGCCATGGGGTGTAGATTGGCCTGAGCAAATGTGGTGCCGGTGGAACGAAAGCCTTCGGAGGAGTTAGCGAAATTCCAATGTGTGCGGATCGGCAAAAAATGCGAAATAACCCTTTAACCGTACATTTGACAGATACGCCCGCACTGACTTTTTTGTAGATCTTACTGAGATACATGTGTGTGTCAATTTTTGTGTCATTTTGACAAAGCGTACAGGCGTGACAGTCAATAGTGTGAATTTTCACCTTAGGGGGCGCTATGGAGCCATTTTGCATTTTCTTGTTTGGGCGACTTCGGAATATCAAATTTTTCACCAGGCCCGGTCGTCCTGCCAAATTTCATGAGTTTTCGCGGGTGGGAAGTGGGCCATTTTCCAGTTCAAAGGGGAGGAAAAATAATAATAACAAAAGAAGGAAACTACAGGAACAAGAGGGCTCTCGCAGCTGCTTAGCAGCTACGCTCGGGCCCTAACTAGGACCCCGTTGGGGCACTGGCGGGCCCGAGCCGTGTCGCGTCCAACGTGCTGCCTTCCCGTCCCATTTGTGTCCTCTGGCCATCGCCCTCTCTGGTAACGCCCATCACTGCAAAGACCCTTTTCCTTCATCGGCGTTTGCTGTTCTTCCTGCCAGTGCGTGTTGCTTTCACTTACACTTGCCACAGCCAGCCTCGTGAGTGCCTAGCCTATTGGATATCACTGTCACCTACACAGGACAGTCATTACCTTTCTATTAATACTTTGTTTTTTAATTTCACATTAATTTCCATATTGTATAAACGACTGGAAAAAACTTGAGCCCCTGCCCCTGTATAATCATGTGCATGTCTCTGTTCTAGCTCCAAGGTGAATCTTCACTGCTCATGTTCTCCTCAGAAGCACTCACCTCACTCCCCTCAGGTTACTGTACACATGCACCAACTGCCTGCTTCAGGTTTGGATGGAGCTTCATGGTTGTCTTTTGGAGAAATGACCAGTCAAGTTGTGTTTGAAATTTGATTTTTTTCAGGGGCAAAAGGAGCCTCTGCATTCTTGTCAAATATGTAAATAGCATGTTTTTGCAGGTGCTAAAAACCAGACTCTGAGTGAGTGTGTGTGTGTGTGTGTGTGTGTGTGTGTGTGTGTGTGTGTGTGTCTGTGTGTGCGTTCAAGTCACATGACATATTTAACCGGATGTAGCTGCAAGACGGAGCCTCGTTGACTCTCCGTTTCAACTTATCTCAAAAGTGAGGACCTTAAACTATATACCAGTTTTTAAATTGTGTTGATAGGCCAAATAAAACCAGAGTTATGATAAATTATGTCCGCGATACTTGTTTTCTGCTTATTTTGATCACGTTCGGCGCTCGATCGCGCTGTATGAGACAGGAAAACATAGCATGCAGACATTAGCGACAGGTCTTACAGGCGGAAAAGGCTTGCCAAAAGAAAAAAAAAACACACCACAACATCTCTCCTATTGGTGGAAAACTTCACCACAACAACCAATCCAAAATTATATGGTGACTGATTGACAAGGGGCGGGCGCTTACGTTCTTCCTGCAACATGAGAAGCGAGGGAGGGACTCTCAGCAGGGATGCAGTCTGGGACACGTAGTTGCAAACCTAGCGACTTTGTTGTTAGATTCAATGACTTTTCAGACCCCCTAACGACTTTTTTTTAGAAAGAAAGGGACTTTTATCGACTTCTTCTGGAGTTTAGAGACTCTGACATGAAGCAGGCTTTCCTTACTGAGGAGTTAGCAACGCTGCTAAGGGTGCAGAGCCACACATGCGCTCAGAGCTCTGCATGGGAGACTGAAGCTGACAGAGCTGCAGCAGTTAGCAGGTTTCACCCTCAGAGACCACCAGGGGTTCATGTTGAGGCATTTTAATTTTTTTTTTTGTGCCATAGACACTGTCAGCACAATCTGCAGTTACACTAACAAAAATGCTGCAAAAAACAAAGAATTATGGAAAAATTACACATGGACTGACATAGAGGAGGATCTACACAAGTTTTTTACATCATGTTTTACATCATGCATCATTTACATCATGTTTTTTTGTAGTGGCATAAATAAAAAGTGACATTTGTGAGACTATACAGTGTTTTGTAAATAATTTTACAAAGAACGCCTGGGCCATTGCCTGCATTTTGATGTAAATAGAGGTAAATTACTATGTTCTTTGTTAAAAATTTGCATATGTTTTGAAGTTTACAATTTTTATTTGAAGTTTAAGTTTTAAAAACAGTTCATCACACATATTTGTGGTTTAATTTCACATTAATTTCCATATTGTATAAATGACTGGAAAAAACCTGAGCCCCTGCCCCTGTATAATCATGTGCACGTCCCTGTTCTAGCTCCAAGGTGAATCTTCACTGCTCATGTTCTCCTCAGAAATAGTCACCTCACTCCCCTCAGGTACACATGCACCAACTATCTGCTTCAGGTTTGGATGGAGCTTCATGGTTGTCTTTTGGAGAAATGAACAGTCAAGTTGTGTTTGAAATCTGATTTTTTTCAGGGGCAAAAGGAAGCCTCTGCATTCTTGTCAAATATGTAAACAGCATGTTTTTGCAGGTGCTAAAAAACAGACTCTGAGTGTGTGTGTGTGTGTGTGTGTGTGTGTGTGTGTGTGTGTGTGTGTGTGTATATGTGTGTGTATCCTGCAGTACTCTGTACTCCTGCAGTGGCCAAAAAGACTTTTAAGAATGTGGATTTTTGGGTCATCTTTGGCGCCCCCTAGAACTGCAGTACTCTGTACTCCTGCAGTGGCCAAAATGACTTTTAAGAATGTGGATTTTTGGGTCATCTTTGGCGCCTCCTAGAACGTAAACCGTGGGGTGCAGCGTCATGATTTTTACAACTTTGAATGGGCATGGGGTGTAGATTGCCCTGAGCAAATTTGGTATCGGTGGGACGAAAGCCTTAGGAGGAGATAGCCACATTCCAATGTGTGCTAATCGGCAAAAAATGCGAAATAGCCCTTTAACCGTACATTATACAGATACGCGCTTTTTGACTTTTTCGTAGATCTAATTGAGATACACATGATTGTCAATTTTTGTGTCAATATGACAAAGCGTTCAGGCGTGACACTCAACAATGTGTATTTTCATGTAAGGGGACAAGAACAAATTGACTTTTTTCTCCTGCCATGGGGGGGCGCTCTTTTGGGGAGTAAAAATTCCTTCACAAATGTGTTGATGGCTGGACATTGCATCATCCTAGAAAACTTGGAGGGCAGTGAGGACAAAAATAAAAAGTTATAAGACTTTTAAGAATGTGGATTTTGGGTTATCTTTGGCGCCCCCTAGAACGTAAACCGTGGGGTGCAGCGTCATGATTTGTACAACTTTTAATGGCCATGGGGGTAGATTGGCCTGCGCAAATGTGGTGCCGGTCGAACGAAAGCCTTCGGAGGAGTTAGCGAAATTCCAATGTGTGCAGATCTGCAAAAAATGCAAAATAACCCATTAACCGTACATTTGACAGATACGCCCGTACTGACTTTTTTGTAGATCTTATTGAGATACATGTGTGTGTCAATTTTTGTGTCAATATGACAAAGCGTACAGCCGTCATGTGAATTTTCACCTTAGGGGGCGCTATGGAGCCATTTTGCATTTTATTGTTTGGGCGACTTCAGAATATCGAATTTTTCACCAGGCCCGGTCGTCCTGCCAAATTTCCTGAGTTTTCGCCAGTGGGAAGTGGGCCATTTTCCAGTTTAAAGCGGAGGAAAAATAATAACGAAAGAAGGAAACATGCAGGAACAAGAGGGCTCTCGCAGCTGCTTAGCAGCTACGCTCGGGCCCTAAAGAAAGAAAGAAAGAAACAAAGAAAAACCACTTGGGGAATAATAGGGCCTACGCCCGGCTGCTCTGCAGCTGGCTCGGGCCCTAAGAAAGAAAGAAAGAAGAAAGAAAAACCTATACAGGAATAATAGGGCTCTACGCCCGGCTGCTCTGCAGCTGGCTCGGGCCCTAACAAAAGAAGAATTCATCAGGAACATGAGGGCTCTCGCAGCTGCTTAGCAGCTACGCTCGGGCCCTAAAAAGAAACAAAGAAAAACCACTTGGGGAATAATAGGGCTCTCGCAGCTGCTTAGCAGCTACGCTCGGGCCCTAAAAACCACTACAGGAATAATAGGGCCTCGCAGCTGCTTAGCAGCTACGCTCGGGCCCTAAAGAAAGAAACAAAGAAAAACCACTACAGGAACAACAGGGCTCTACGCCCGGCTGCTCTGCAGCTGGCTCGGGCCCTAAAGAAAGAAAGAAAGAAAGAAAGAAAGAAAGAAAGAAAGAAAGAAACAAAGAAAAACTCATCAGGAACAACAGGGCTCTCGCAGCTGCTTAGCAGCTACGCTCGGGCCCTAACAAAGAAGAACCTATACAGGAACAACAGGGCTCTCGCAGCTGCTTAGCAGCTACGCTCGGGCCCTAAGAAAGAAAGAAAGAAAGAAAGAAACAAAGAAAAACCACTACAGGAACAACAGGGCTCTACGCCCGGCTGCTCTGCAGCTGGCTCGGGCCCTAATTAAGCTGCAATCTTCAGGAGATTACCAGCCAGAACCAGAAGCAAGTTCACATGTTAGAGGCAGAAAAAGTGACCCTGGAGCAGAAGGTAAAAGACCTACAGAAGTATGTCTCAAGAAGTGCAGAGGAAGAATCAAGCTGCAAGCTTCAGGAGACTGACAGCAAGGACTTGCAACAGGTTGAATTGCTGGAGGCAGAGAAAATTGCTTTGGAGCAGCAGGTAAAAGACCTGCAGGAAGAAGTCTCAAGAAGGGCAGAGGAGATTTCAATCAATACCAAGAAAACACAGGAGCTCCAAGACTCTCTTCAGTCCCTCAATGCTCAATTGGTTACTGAAAGATACTGGAACGTAGCCCTTCAGAATAATCGGCAAGACTTATGCTTAAGACTTAGGTGTGCAGACCAGCGGTACAGCAAGCAGGCTGAGCAGCTTGAGGCAGAGAAGCTTGCCCTGGAGAAAAAATTGAAGGACCTGCAGGAGGATGGTGTTTCGAGAAGAGCAGAGGATGAAACAAGTGACACTGAGGGTAATCAAGAGCACAAGAACTTGTGACGTCTTTAAAGACTCAGCTGCAGGCTGAAACAAACAGGGCCATAACCCTCCAGAAAGAAGGGGAGGATTTAAAGTGCAAGCTTGAAGAGACTGCCAGCCGGAATCTAAAGCAGGTTTACGTGTTGGAGGCAGAAAAACTTGCCCTTCAACAGAAAATAAAGGACCTGCAGGAAGATGTCTCAAGAAGAGCTGAGGAATTAACAAATAACAACAAGAAGACTCAAAAGCTCCAAGATCTTGTTAATCCTTCCAAAACTCAGCTGCAGGCTGAGAAAAACAGGGCCGAAAATCTCAAGAATGAGGGGAAGGATTTAAGGTGTAAGTTTGAAATTGCAAATGACAACTTGACAATTTTACAAGTTGATTGCTGGTGATAGATAGATAGATAGATAGATAGATAGATAGATAGATAGACTAGATTGATCCCAAAGTAGTAAGTACAATGCAGACTAAAAATACTAAGTATATACAATAAATATAGACTAAATATACTAAAAATCCTAAGAGAAAAAAGTAAGATATGAAGAATGTGGGCTCTTGAAATGAGTAATAAATATGAAATGAGTAATAAATATGAAATGCGAAATATACAGATGGGATAATAAATAAACACACAAATTAAGGTGCTCAGTAATGTGATGTGGTAGGAAATGGACTATACAGCAGACAGATGTGAGTCCCTGTCTGACAGATGTGTTATTAAATAGAGCAATAGCTTGTGGCAGGAAAGATTTCCTGTATCTGTCTCTTCGACAGTGGAGCTGCAACAGTCTGTTGGAAAAGGAGCTCAGCTGTCTGTCCAGAGTGAGGTGGAGAGGGTGGTCAGAGTTATCCATGATGGATAACAGTTTGGTCAGTGTCTTCCTCTCCAACACAGCCTCCACAGTGTCCTGTTTGCAGCCAATCACTGAGCCAGCCTTCCTGATCCGTTTGTTGAGTCTGTTGGTGTCACTGGCTCCAATGCTGCTCCCCCAACAAACAACGGCAAAGAAAAGTACGCTGGCCACCACAGACTGGTAGAACATCTCCAACATCTTGCTGCACACGTTGAAGGATCTCAGCTTCCTCAGGAAGCAGAGTCTGCTCATCCCCTTCTTGTAGACAGCGTCAGTGTTGGATTTCCAGTCTAGTCTGTTGTTGATATAGATGCCAAGGTACTTGTAGACCTCCACCTCCTCTTCTTCCTGAAGTTGATGACCATCTCTCTGGTCTTGGTGACATTCAGCCTCAGGTGATTGCGTCCAGCCCACTCCACAAAGTTATCCACCACTGCTCTTTACTAGACACCCATCACCCGCAGCTTCTCAACCAACAGCAGTGGCTGGATGGTGTTAAAAGCTCTGGAGAAATCAAAGAAGGTGATTCTCACAGTGCTGCCACCACCATCCAGATGCAAATTAGCTCGTTGCAGCAGGTAGATGACAGCATCGTCAACTCCCATACGGGGCTGGTAGGCAAACTGTAGAGGGTCTAAGAGCTCCTTCACCTGCAGCCTCAGGTGGGCCAAGACTAACCTCTCCAGCACATTCATCAGATGGGATGTGAGGGCAACTGGTCAGTAGTCATTGAGGTCAGATGAAGTCGACTTCTTTGGGACAGGAACAAGACAGGACGTCTTCCACAGCACTGGGACTCTCTCAGAAGACAGCTGGCTGGCGCAGATCCTCAGGATCCTGGGGCTGATGCCTAATCCTGCTGCCTTCCTCTGGTGGAGCCTCTCCAGCTGTCTCCTAACCTGGCCCGTAGTCACGGTCATGTGAGGGGGGGGGGGTGCTGATATATCCTTTTTTTTTTTTTTGAATTTATTTGTGCAATACGGCATTACAGTGACAGTGCAAGACATACAACAAACAACAGCATTAGTGGTTTTGTGTGTGTGTGTGTGTGTGTGTGGTGTGTGTATTATATGTGTGAATAATAATAATAATTGTCAGACAAGCAAATGGAAATTATAAAAGAAGAGTAATATCAATAATAATAATAACAATAATAATATAACAATAACAATAACAATAATAATAACTAGGACCCCGTTGGGGCACTGGCGGGCCCGAGCCGTGTCGCCCCCCCCCCCCCCCAACGTGCTGCCTCCCCGTCCCATTTGTGTCCTCTGGCCATCGCCCTCTCTGGTAACGCCCATCACTGCAAAGACCCTTTTCCTTCATCGGCGTTTGCTGTTCTTCCTGCCAGTGCGTGTTGCTTTCACTTACACTTGCCACAGCCAGCCTCGTGAGTGCCTAGCCTATTCGATATCACTGTCACCTACACAGGACAGTCATTACCTTTCTATTAATACTTTGTGTTTTAATTTCACATTAATTTCCATATTGTATAAACGACTGGAAAAAACTTGAGCCCCTGCCCCTGTATAATCATGTGCATGTCTCTGTTCTAGCTCCAAGGTGAATCTTCACTGCTCATGTTCTCCTCAGAAGCACTCACCTCACTCCCCTCAGGTTACTGTACACATGCACCAACTGCCTGCTTCAGGTTTGGATGGAGCTTCATGGTTGTCTTTTGGAGAAATGACCAGTCAAGTTGTGTTTGAAATTTGATTTTTTTCAGGGGCAAAAGGAGCCTCTGCATTCTTGTCAAATATGTAAATAGCATGTTTTTGCAGGTGCTAAAAACCAGACTCTGAGTGTGTGTGTGTGTGTGTGTGTGTGTGTGCGTGTGTGCGTGTCTGTGTGTGCGTTCAAGTCACATGACATATTTAACCGGATGTAGCTGCAAGACGGAGCCTCGTTGACTCTCCGTTTCAACTTATCTCAAAAGTGAGGACCTCAACCTATATACCAGTTTTTAAATTGTGTTGATAGGCCAAATAAAACCAGAGTTATGATAAATTATGTCCGCGATACTTTTTTTCTGCTTATTTTGATCACGTTCGGCGCTCGATCGCGCTGTATGAGACAGGAAAACATAGCATGCAGACATTAGCGACAGGTCTTACAGGCGGAAAAGGCTTGCCAAAAGAAAAAAAAAAACACACCACAACATCTCTCCTATTGGTGGAAAACTTCAACACAACAACCAATCCAAAATTATATGGTGACTGATTGACAAGGGGCGGGCGCTTACGTTCTTCCTGCAACATGAGAAGGGAGGGAGGGACTCTCAGCAGGGATGCAGTCTGGGACACGTAGTTGCAAACCTAGCGACTTTGTTGTTAGATTCAATGACTTTTCAGACCCCCTAACGACTTTTTAGAAAGAAAGGGACTTTTATCGACTTCTTCTGGAGTTTAGAGACTCTGACATGAAGCAGGCTTTCCTTACTGAGGAGTTAGCAACGCTGCTAAGGGTGCAGAGCCACACATGCGCTCAGAGCTCTGCATGGGAGACTGAAGCTGACAGAGCTGCAGCAGTTAGCAGGTTTCACCCTCAGAGACCACCAGGGGTTCATGTTGAGGCATTTTAATTTTTTTTTTTTTGTGCCATAGACACTGTCAGCACAATCTGCAGTTACACTAACAAAAATGCTGCAAAAAACAAAGAATTATGGAAAAATTACACATGGACTGACATAGAGGAGGATCTACACAAGCTTTTTACATCATGTTTTACATCATGCATCATTTACATCATGTTTTTTTGTAGTGGCATAGATAAAACGTGACATTTGTGAGACTATACAGTGTTTTGTAAATAATTTTACAAAGAACGCCTGGGCCATTGCCTGCATTTTGATGTAAATAGAGGTAAATCACTATGTTCTTTGTTAAAAATTTGCATATGTTTTGAAGTTTACAATTTTTATTTGAAGTTTAAGTTTTAAAAACAGTTCATCACACATATTTGTGGTTTTCACAGTAAAAATGTTACTTTTTTCCACTCGGATTTTATGTTTTGTGTGTAAATTTGGGTCCATTGTGTAAATTCAGTATGTCAACATGATAAAATAACTGTAAATTCGCACAGGTGAGGTTGTGCTGAAAAAAAATGATACCAGGCAAGGCACGTGATTGTCAAATTTTGTGTCAATATGACAAAGCGTATAGGCGTGAATCTCAACAATATGTATTTTCACCTTAGGGGACAAGAAAAAATGGACTTTTTTCTCCTGTCATGGGGGGCGCTCTTTTGGGGAGTAAAAATTCCTTCACAAATGTGTTGATGGCTGGACATTGCATCATCCTAGAAAACTTGGAGGCCAGTGAGGACAAAAATAAAAAGTTATAAGACTTTTAAATATGTGGATTTTAGGGTTGTCTTTGGCGCCCCCTAGAACCTAAACCGTGGGGTGCAGCATCATGATTTGAATAACTTTTAATGGCCATGGGGTGTAGATTGGCCTGAGCAAATGTGGTGCCGGTGGACAGAAAGCCTTCGGAGGAGTTAGCGAAATTCCAATGTGTGCGGATCGGCAAAAAATGCGGAATAACCCTTTAACCGTACATTAGACAGATACGCGCGCATTGACTTTTTCGTAGATCTTATTGAGTTACATGTGTGTGTCAATTTTTGTGTCATTTTGACAAAGCGTATAGGCGTGACACTCAACAATGTGTATTTTCACCTTAGGGGACAAGAAAAAATGGACTTTTTTCTCCTGCCATGGGGGGGCGCTCTTTTGGGGAGTAAAAATTCCTTCACAAATGTGTTGATGGCTGGACATTGCATCATCCTAGAAAACTTGGAGGCCAGTGAGGACAAAAATAAAAAGTTATAAGACTTTTAAATATGTGGATTTTAGTGTTATCTTTGGCGCCCCCTAGAACCTAAACCTTGGGGTGCAGCGTCATGATTTTGATAACTTTTAATGGCCACGGGGTGTAGATTGGCCTGAGCAAATGTGGTGCCGGTGGAACGAAAGCCTTCGGAGGAGTTAGCGAAATTCCAATGTGTGCGGATCGGAAAAAAATGCGAAATAACCCTTTAACCGTACATTTGACAGATACGGCCGCACTGACTTTTTTGTAGATCTTATTGAGATACATATGTGTGTCAATTTTTGTGTCAATATGACAAAGCGTACAGGCGTGACAGTCAATAGTGTGA